TCTTTGCGTCCTAACAGCTGTTTTCACATATACACATATACATTTGTATGTGAATGTTACAATATTAAAAAAAAATAAGTCAAATTGTGTGAAGTGTGTTGCTTGATACTCTATGTTTTATGATTGATGTACAAAATCAAATTTTCAGCATAGATTGAACCTAGTTGCACTTAATCTTTGTGACCACACGATGGCAATAAAAGTAAAAGCTTCAAGTAGAGAACCCAAATTATACTCTTTAGGTTAAAGGGGGGCTCAACTTACCCACTAGCACTGTAGCCTATAAAACCCTGTACTCCTAAAAAATGTTTTTGGTCATTTTATAATGCTATTTAAAACAAGAATGTGAAAAGAGGCAGAAATATGCTTATAATGTTCTGCTTATAGACAATTAAATCTTTTTTTGAGACCTTATTTTCAAAGACTATTTCTTTTTTTTATAAAGTCCTGCGTGTAAGAATCCACCCGCCAGCCCAAAAAGCGGAATCCAGTGGCCTGGTTGAAGGTTTAATGCGTGTTCGGTCTTTTACTTGCACCTCTAAATTTATCAGGATTTAGTTTCAGGATTTTAGTAGCTCCGTGTTAATCTGACTCCAATTTCAAGTGATCATTAAATTTAGGCAATGTTTCTAATTAAAAACTGATCACAAATGTTGATTGTGTATTAATTTAGATATTTGATTATTCTGGACTCATTATACTTTCAATTATCCGTTCACTGGGACTTAATGTCGCTTAACAATTCACTTGGCCAACAGTGAACGCACGGCACAAACTCGCCAGTCTGATGTTAGTCAGAGGGTGTAGGTTGACTAATACCTGTTTTGCCTGCCGCCTACTGCTTGCTTATGACAAAAAGTGTAGTTTACTTAGTCTTTTTTGGTACAACTTGCTAACACCAGTGATAGACAGAAATCAGAAGGTCTCCGATGACGTGTCTACTGCTCCTATCTTCATGAGCCTTCAGTTTGACCTATCCTGGGCACAGACTTGTGGTAACAAAAGCCTCCTCACAGTTTACTAGACAATGATTTCAGGAGAGTTCAGAATTAATCAAATATAACACTTTATTATCAGTCAGGTAAATATGTATTGTGTCAATTACATAGTCAATTCAAAGATATCAAATCAATACAAGACATCAAGATCTCAAAGATGAATCTAAGAGTAAGATGCATACCTGACTTTAGACAAATACATAGTATGAAGTGTGTAGACACATTCCGACTACAGAAGGCCCAGTAGTGTTTTGTCGCTTCCCTTATATTTCAGATAATTTCAGATTCTCAGATAAGAAACAAAGAAATCTTCAAATCAGTTGTAAAAACATAAAATACCTTTTGGTTTTTTAGGTTCTCGTGCTCCAGGGTCACACCTGGCTGGAGGTAGATAAGCATTCTCACAGAACCTGAGGGGGACACACACACCCCCTCCTCAGCAGAACACAATTCTACTAAAGTTTCATAATGTAAGTGACTAGTGTGAAATTCAGACCAATTTACCAATCGCACAGAGACCTTTAAAATGATACCAAACATGAAAGGAAAAAAGCAACATATTCACAAGATATAACACATGTGATATATGGATATTCTTGCCTTGGGGGAGAAGAGTGAGAGGGGAGAGGAGAGGGAGGAAGGGGGGCATAAATGAACGAGGGGAGTGGTGTTGTTTGCTCTCTTTGAAGATCTCTTCTCCAGATTAGTTTTATTGTTTTGT